TTTGTTGCATGAAATGTTTTAAAATTCTTACCAGGATGGAAATTAAATAATATAGATGTGCGGAAACTAATCTAGCCTTAATTTTATACTATTAATGAGGGCGAAATATTCCTTTTGATTCTGTTCTAGAATATACTCCCTCATGAAATAGATTTAAAGCAGCAACATAGCACCAGCTGAGGATACTAAGTGGTCGCCCGAATGTTTCAAAAGATTTGTTCTGCAGTGTGAATTATTAATACTTAAATTGATTTTGGGCGATCGCAACCAAAATAATCCTCTGGAGACCAAAAAAATTAAAATTAAGGAAACACAAAAGCCCGACGAGTTCCTCTACAAAATTGCATCTTATGCCTTGAGGGTAGAGTTGCGACTGAAGCCAAATGCAAGTTTTTTGGTTACAAGGTTTAGTTTTTGTTCGTTATGAGGGCAGAAGGCATTCCATCTGATTCTGTTCAAGAATGAACTCTATCCAGGACTATAATTTATCACTGTAATATAACTGCAGCTGCATGCAGACATACGCCAGGGTGTATTTAGTATCAAGTTTTTCCCTGCCTTAACTTTTTCTAAAGAATTACTCCAATATTTTGTTTATTCCGGCGTAAGGTGGAAACATTTATGAGAGATACGCCAGATGGGGCGGGACTTTTGAACTGAATTTGTTTTATATTTAACTTTCTCTAGAATATACGGAGTGATCCCCGGCATAAACTGTTTCAAAAGTGTTTTTTCTATAAAGTCAATTATTTATGCGGAAAATCCGCAGTACCTCTAACAGCGGAAATGCAGCAAACATAAAAGTCCGACGCATTCTTGAAGCCTAATGCAAGTTTGATTTTAACAAGTTTTCGTCTTTGTTCGTTATGAGGGCAGAACATTTCATCCGATTCTGTTCTAGAATGAGCTCTATTCAGAACTCTAATTTATCACTGTAATATAGCTACAGCTAACTATACAGAGTGGTTCCCGGCATTAACTGTTTCAAAAGTGTTGTTTTCGATTTTGTGCAATTGCGACCAAAATAATCCGCTGGAGACAAACAAAATTAAAATTAAGGAAACACGAAAGCCCGACGCGTTCCTGCATAAAATTGCATCATTTGCCTTGAGGGTAGAGTTGCGACTGAAGCCAAATGCAAGTTTTTTTTGTTACTATATTTAGTTTTTGTTCATTAGTATTGCGGGATATTCCATTTAATTCTGTTCTAGAATGAATTCTATTCAGAACTATAATATAATATAGCTGCAGCTTCATGCAGACATACGCCAGGGTGTATTTAGTATCAAGTTTTTCCCTGCCTTAACTTTTTCTAAAGAATTACTCCAATATTGTGTTTATTCCGGCGTGAAGTGGAAATATTTATGAGAGATACGCCAGATGGGGCTGGACTTTTGATCTGATTTTATTTTATAATTAACTTCCCCTAGAATATACAGAGTGATCCCCGGGATTAACTGTTTCAAAAGTGTTTTTTCTATAAAGTCAAAATCCGCAGGACCTCTAACAGCGGAAATGCAGCAAACATAAAAGTCCGACGCATTCTTGAAGCCTAATGCAAGTTTGATTTTAACAAGTTTTCGTCTTTGTTCGTTATGAGGGCAGAACATTTCATCCGATTCTGTTCTAGAATGAGCTCTATTCAGAACTCTAATTTATCACTGTAATATAGCTACAGCTAACTATACAGAGTGGTTCCCGGCATTAACTGTTTCAAAAGTGTTGTTTTCGATTTTGTGCAATTGCGACCAAAATAATCCGCTGGAGACAAACAAAATTAAAATTAAGGAAACACGAAAGCCCGACGCGTTCCTGCATAAAATTGCATCATTTGCCTTGAGGGTAGAGTTGCGACTGAAGCCAAATGCAAGTTTTTTTTGTTACTATATTTAGTTTTTGTTCATTAGTATTGCGGGATATTCCATTTAATTCTGTTCTAGAATGAATTCTATTCAGAACTATAATATAATATAGCTGCAGCTTCATGCAGACATACGCCAGGGTTTATTTAGCACCAAGTGTTTCCCTGTTTATTCGGGCGTGAAGTGGAAATATTTATAAGAGATACGCCTTATGGGGCGGGCCATTTTAACTGGTTTTGTTTTATAATTAACTTCCTCTAGAATATACAGAGTGGTCCCCGGCATTAACTGTTTCAAAAGTATTGTTTCTAAAAAGTCAATTATTTATGCGGAAAATCCACTGGACGCCTAACATAGCGGAAATGCAAAAACATTAAAGTCCGACGCATTTCTGAAGCCAAATGCAAGTTTGATTTTTACTAGTTTTTGAGGGCAGAACATTCCATTCTCTAATTTATCACTGTAATATAGCTGCAGCTAGGGATACGGAGTGGTCACCGGCCTTAACTGTTTCAAAAGTGTTGTTTTTCGGTGGACCCCTACATAGCTAAAAAGAAAGATACACAAAAGCCCTGGAGAAGCCTTTTTGTTACCTACCAGGGGTCGACATTATGGCAACACTAACTTGCATCTTTTGTAACAAAACACCTTTCTGAGACATGGCCGGCAGAAGTAACTTCCTTCTGGGGATGTTAGAACCAGTTGGGAATCATACGCACACATGTGCGAGATCTGTTTTGAAATTTAACTATTTGATTGTAACTGTGGAGCTATTCTTCTATATAATTTTACTAGTATATAAGTCAAAAGATCGTTAAAAATAGGGGGAATGTAAAACTGTAGATGTAAAATGTATAGGTGAATGAAATTAATGCAGGCGCACTACTTTATTGTTTTTTAACATAAATATATATCATTTATATTGTATTAGTTCCTAGTAATCGAATTTTAATCTGCAAGGGTATAAAAAGTTTTAATTTTTTTTTATTAATGCTACGGTAACCACTTCTAAGAAGCAGCAGTTAAAATGTTCCCCAGAACGGGAGACGGTGAAACTTCGTCCTTATATGCTATAACACACCAATTAATCTAGCAAAGAAGAATTGCAGCTATAATTAAAATTGAGTCATTTTTATTTATATCCTTGACAGTATTTGATGTTTATCTTAATTCAACTTGGCAATTTCAGCTTCACCGCCACCCAAGAAAAATGTAAACTCTACTGGTGACGAAAACATGGACTGGAGCTAAACACACAAATTTTTTGTTTAAACAATAACTCGAAAACTTATAAGATTATTTTATTACATTTAGTTTTATTCATTTTTCGTAAATTTTTTTTTTTTTAATAATATCAAGTATTCGTCCCATCAGTCTGATCCCCGGAACACGAAAGCGAACCAAAAGAAGCCTCCGCGGAGTTTGTTCCACACATTTTAGGTGGAGGCCGATGGAAAGGCTCTTTTCAGGCTTTTTTCATGGAAACATGGGTAAGTTTTGAATCTTAGTCATTTGCAGTTGTTGGAGAAATACCACCTATACCACCTAACTTTGCTAGTATTTAAATCATTGGCGTATCCAAAGTTGCTCTTTTAACTTCCGCGGTTTTTCCCATTTTGATTTTTGGGAGGCACCAGTAAGCCATTCCATCGATTAGCGACGACCGCATTTGGTGATTCGACAAAGTTTTGCTGCTCAAAGCAATTCTTACACCAACCTGGACGTATGCGATACAAATAAATACTTATGTAATAATAAGTAAAAACTAGTCTCTCTAAAGCCATTTCTAAATTGTATATCCTTTTTAAAGGCAATCGGGAAATGGGAAGAAGTTATCAAATATATCAGCCATATGAAACATATTCATCGTGGAGAGGAGAAAACAATATTGGCTGCAAATCTATGAATACATACAGCTGGGAATTCTATGATTATGTAACTGCTAAGAAGTTGGCACATCTGACGTGTATACAAATATACATAAATGAATGACTGTATTACTGAAAACATCGGTAACTGACAACAGCTCTTCGCGTACAAAATGTTTAAGACCGTGGAGCTTCTAATTCCGGCAAGGCGATATAGGACACCCATTAACTGAATATTTACAAGCAATTGTTCGTTTGAGCGTTTGCAATTAAAATATTATCCTTTATAAGGTCAATAATGTTCACTCTCTCTCAATGCTTACAAGAACTTCCGGCTGAAAATATCGTTTGCCGATAATTCAGTCGTATAGGGAATCCCCTAATTAAATAGGAAAACCTAAAAACACTTTCTGTACGAGTGAGATAGCGAATATCGATGACAAATGATGTATCGATAAGGCGGACTTTTTAAAATTGATTCAAACATGAAAAGAACATTAGCCGCACCTTCGTAATTTGGTGTTCCAAATCCCAAGGGATTCAATGCATGTTGGTTTATTTCCATTTCACAAATTATCACCTCGCTTTATTATCTTCTTCCTCTTTTTTTTGATACGCCTTCAATATTTGCTAATGTAGCCGCCAAATGTGGGGAAATGTGTCAGGCATATTAATGATCTTCCATACCTCGGATTACCTTCGTTCCTACCTGCCCGGGGGAGCCTCCGATCAGGCCGAAGACCATCCAGCTGAGGCTTAGCCGCGTTCGCACTGAAAGTAAATAATGCTCGCGATTATCGGACATTTCACCCGGCGACGCAACGTCGCTGGGATAGGCGCTGAGAGAAGACATTACACACGAAAACAAATCTGGTCATATATCAGCCAATGTTCTTAAAAAATAATCAAAATATAAAGTATTTAAGAAGTTTATGTTCAAATAAATATCTTGAATAAATTCCCAAACATAAATTTTCAAATATGAACAAATTAAAGATTTATAAAACCGTACTACCCAATTAATAACCACAAAAGTGATTAGTTTGGAATACAAAAGAGTTCTTTAAATAAAGTATATATTCCAATTATTTATGTTTTTATTATATCAAAAAGAAAATCTTCCGATTAAAAAGTCAGCTATATATTTTCGTATGTCTAGTTTGCATTACATTTTGTGTTGTGTGTATTTAATAATTTTTTTCTCTGAGTACCTTTTTTCCTGCCCATTACCGCTTGGCTGCTCTTGGCTATAAAACTCACGCAATGGCACGTAAACACTTTCAGTTCCAGTTCAGATCGGCAGCCGGTCGGTCGTCAAGCTCGTTCCGTTCCGTCACATCGCAGAGACACACTCGCAACGTAAGTTTCCTTAGGCCTTAGAACTTGAAACAAGTCGTTACCCTGATCACAGTAAGCGAATTTTGAAATAACCTTTCGTTAATTGTTAATTGGTATACTAATTGCTGCGTGCAATCGATGTGCTCATTCTGGTGTAATTACTTCCATATGGTTATTGCCCTTTATTGGAGTCAATATACTGAAAATTCGATTCCACCCGGCACTATAATCCGGTGATAATCTTATCGGGATCAGGTGGTAGGTAGTTAGGATCTTTAATGTTTGCCATAGTCATCCTGGTGGACACGGTCATAAATTCTACACACATTTTGTGCTTATCGGGGTTATTTACGATCTTGAATTTATCTGCTCTATCTGCTCTATCGATGTATTTACTCGGGTTTACCCCTCAAGAAAGGTGAAAGGCAGGGTATTTCGAGTAGGTTGTATATTCCGTATCTGTAATGGTTGTTATTTAATGTGAACTAATTGTACAGTGTGCATAACTGGTGCTCATGTTAATTGATTGTCAATGGAAGACCCCGTAAATTACTTACTTCTCGGTAATAAAATTGTTTCAGTGTTCCACGTTCTTCGGTCTTTGATTTTGTTGTTGATTACGAAAGCCCAATCTTTGAACATGTCCTATCTTCTTGCGATATTTGCCAAGTGATTTCTTCAGCTGAAGTGGATTTCGGCGAATCTATAGGCACTACAAATTCACTTGAGAAACGCGGGCAGTACATATGTGTGCCGATCTGACCCCAGAGTCATCAGAACATGAGACATTTTAATCAATTAAGGGGAGAGACCGTACCGACTCTCAGCAGAGTGAAATTAGATCTACGTCATCGAATTGCCATAACAACGTGTCATAGAATGGGAGTCGAGTCTAATCAAAATTCAAAAATGCTAACTACACTTCTCAGGCGGCAAAGTTGGCGCACAAAATGAGGCTGTTCCTCGTAGCACTGCTTGCTACCTTTGCGGTGAGTCCTGCCATGCATTCAGGGGAATGTCCTTAACTAATCCTCTTCGCTTGCAGTTGTCCAACGCTCTGGTCAAGGAGGAGATCCAGGCCAAGGAGTATCTGGAGAATCTGAACAAGGAGTTGGCCAAGCGCACCAATGTAGAGACCGAGGCAGCTTGGGCCTATGCCTCCAACATCAACGATGAGAACGAGAAGAAAAAGAACGAGATCTCCGCCGAGTTGGCCAAGTTCATGAAGGAGGTGGCCAGCGACACCTTGAAGTTCCAGTGGCGCAGCTATCAGTCGGAGGACCTCCGGCGTCAGTTCAAGTCCCTCACCAAGCTGGGCTACGCCGCTCTGCCAGAAGCCGACTACGCCGAGTTCTTGGAAACAGTCTCCGCCATGGAGTCCAACTTCGCCAAGGTGAAGGTCTGCGACTACAAGGACAAGACCAAGTGCGATCTGGCTTTGGATCCGGAGATCGAGGAGATCATCAGCACTAGCCGCGACCACGAGGAGCTCACGTACTACTGGCGTGAGTTCTACGACAAGGCCGGAACCGCCGTGCGATCCCAATTCGAGCGCTACGTGGAGCTCAACACCAAGGCTGCCAAACTGAATAGTGAGTGAACACAAACATTAAGCATGATTTAAATTTATATTTGCTGTACACCAATCTCTCATCAGATTTCACGTCCGGTGCGGAGGCTTGGTTGGATGAGTATGAGGATGCCACCTTTGAGCAACAGCTGGAGGACATCTTTGCCGAGATTCGTCCGCTCTACGAACAAATCCACGGCTACGTGCGCTATCGCCTGCGAAAGCACTATGGCGACGACGTGGTCTCTGAGAAGGGACCCATTCCCATGCACCTGTTGGGCAACATGTGGGCGCAGCAGTGGTCCGAGATCGCAGACATTGTGTCTCCGTTCCCTGAGAAGCCTCTGGTCGATGTGAGTGCCGAGATGGAGAAGCAGGGCTACACAGCCCTGAAGATGTTCCAGATGGGCGACGACTTCTTCACCTCCATGAACCTCACCAAGCTGCCGCAGTGAGTACACCCTGTCGAAGGTGATCTAAGAGAAATGTAATTAATTGTTTGGTTTTCTTTTCAAAGGAACTTCTGGGACAAGTCGATCATTGAGAAACCCACCGATGGTCGTGACCTCATTTGCCATGCCAGCGCCTGGGACTTTTACCTGACCGATGATGTGCGCATCAAACAGTGCACCCGCGTGACCCAGGACCAGCTCTTCACCGTCCACCACGAGCTGGGACACATTCAGTATTTCCTTCAGTATCAGCACCTGCCCTTCATCTATCGCACTGGTGCCAATCCCGGTTTCCATGAGGCCGTCGGCGATGTTCTTTCTCTGTCGGTGTCCACGCCTAAGCATCTGGAGAAGATTGGTCTGCTTAAGGACTATGTCCGCGACGAAGAGGCCCGCATTAACCAGCTCTTCCTCACCGCTCTGGACAAGATTGTGTTCCTGCCTTTTGCCTTCACCATGGACAAGTACCGCTGGGCACTGTTCCGCGGCCAGGTCGACAAGAGCAATTGGAACTGCGCCTTCTGGAAGCTGAGGGATGAGTACTCCGGAATCGAGCCACCAGTGGTGCGCAGCGAGAAGGACTTTGATGCCCCGGCCAAGTATCATGTATCCGCCGATGTTGAATATCTGAGGTTTGTAAAAGGAATCAGTTCACCGTTTGTCTTGATAAAGTTAAAACTTGAAAAAACGATCCGTTCTAGGTACCTGGTGTCCTTCATCATCCAGTTCCAGTTCTACAAGTCCGCCTGCATTAAGGCTGGCCAGTATGATGCCAGCAATCCTGAGCTGCCCCTGGACAACTGTGACATCTACGGCAGTGCAGCGGCTGGAGCTGCCTTCCAGTAAGTCTTGGGAAGATCCGTATGAGTTAATAAGTTATTATTTGAATGCGTTTCTTACTCATTAGCAACATGCTGTCCCTGGGCGCCTCTAAGCCCTGGCCCGACGCACTGGAGGCCTTCAATGGAGAGCGCACAATGACTGGCAAGGCCATTGCCGAGTATTTTGAGCCACTCCGCGTCTGGCTCGAGGCGGAGAACATCAAGAACAATGTCCACATTGGCTGGACCCCCTCTGAAAGTAAGTTGTACAGTCTTAGGGATCTCTTATACCATTGTTAATTTCTTCATTTTTCCATTTCAGAATGTGTATCTTCCTAATTGATTTGGCTTTGTTGATTTCATACAGTTTTTGTTCAATAAAGTTTCATTAACGTTCCCTTACTTGCTTTAACGTCACTTTTTATTTTATTGCTGGGTGATGGATGGGCTTGAATAAACATGTCAGTTTTGGTTGAACTAAAGTAGTATTTTTGTGAAACAAAAAAATCAAGTGCATGCAAATAAATCAAAACTAGAGTTTATGCAAAAACACACAATGATAAGCAGCAGGTTTGGTTATGCAGCTGTGTCTGACCTTATCAGGGTCAGTTACACTCCGTGTTTGCTGACATTCAGATTGTGCAGAGCAAGCGGTGAAACCGCCAACTTATAACTTTATATAATTTCAGAATTTTGTAGATGAATTGTAAATACCACTTAAAAAAATAATGTTAAAAAATACTCTTTTTCATATTAAGAACATAATTATTACATTTACAAAACTTAAGAGAATATAAGTTCTAATTGTTTTTACACATTGTTTTTATCGTTGCTCAAGAACGGATTGAGAATATAAACTTTCATTAATATTCATATTCCTACTTCATTGAAATACTGTTATTAATAAATATTCTAGGGTCAAGAATTATTAAAACTGTTTTCGTATAAGTTATAAAAGTTGGTAATAATATTTTAGGCGATTCAGCAACTCCAAATTATTTTCATAAATTTATTTTATTCTTGAGTTTTATTGAAGAATAAAAGTATTTCAATCAAGTAACTAAAAGATCTGTGTATTTAGTAACTTTAAAAAGACAATCTCTCACGATTTGTAAGTGCATGTTATAGCATTTTAAGTGCTTTCAAACTGGTACGCATTAAAATTTTAAATGTCTAACTGGGCGCCCAGACTGTTGGCCACAAACTGGCTTCTCTGGCCATGGAGTGTGGTTGGCCCATGTCAGTTCAGTTCAAGAGCCGGGCAAGCGCAGAACGTTCAGCCAGACTGGTTAATACAGGAAAAGTGCCGGGAATATCAATGAGCTGGGGATTTGTGTTGCGAAAGTGAAGTTGATAGAAAGTGTGGGAATACTATGTATCTTTGGTTGTGGCTTGTGGTAAGTCAAGGAGAGTAAGCCTAGAGGTACTGATACACATCCCTTTACTTCTCTGATCTGTTATTTAGCTCCACCTTTGCCTATCGCATGCTGATCCGCCTGATCCCGGTTTGGAAACATTTCTAAAGGATGCCAATCAGCAACTCGCTGTTATCTATGACCAGGCTGTCCTGGCTCAGTTGCTGCACGAGTTGCGTGGCCCCAATGATCTAGTGGCTCTATTAGAGATTGAGGTCACCGACAATAAGCTTGTTAAGTATGTCAGGACCTTATCGACTCGAAAGGCCAAGTTCCGTCGCCTGGGCCTGGGTGATGACCACCAGCGCAGGCAGCTGGCAAAGCTTCCCCTGTTGGGTTATGAGGCTCTTCCTGACCGTGACTTGAGGCGAGTCTATGAACTGGCCTCCAACATGAGCGACAACTACCGCAATGTCAAGATGTGCGCCTACAAACAGCCGGATAATTGCACTCTAAGACTCATACCAGAAGTTCAGTCGGTTGTTCAGGGGAGCCGAGATCTGGACGAGATCGAATATTACTGGTTTGAGTGGCGACGTCGCACGGGATTGGCCACCAGGCACCAATTTGTGGCCTTCATGGACTTGTACAAAAAGGCTGCCAAACTGAATGGATATCCCCGGGCCGAGGACTACTGGTTTCGATCTCTGGAGTTGGGTGCCCAAGAGGCCATGACCCTGCTGGATAGAATTATGCACGGCCTGCGACCTTTGTTTCTCCAGTTTCACGCCCATGTTCGGGGTTCCCTGAGGAAGATGCACGGCGAGGGATTAGTTCCACGGAGTAGACCCTTTCCGCAGCATCTGGCAGAGGTCTTCATTGGAAATGCCTTTCGACGTGTCCAGGCCGAATGGTATGTGGATCTGCCAGCGCCACAGCTTGGACTCTCGAATATCACCCAGGGGCTCCATCGTCGCGGATTGACCACAACCCAAAGGGTGTTTTGGAATGTGGCAGAGTTCTTCAGGGGTGTTGGTCTGCCACTGTTGGAGAAGTAAGTGATTACTTATAATTCCCAATAAAATGTGTATTTAATTTCCTATTTTATTTCAGTTCACTGTGGGAATATGCTCAACCAGTGTCCACCGATGACGATGATCATTGCTGGCACAAGGCCTGGCGGTACTATGCTTTGCCCAGAACAAATTTCACCTATTGTCCCCTCAACGATGAGGAACGATTCTTCAATATGTACGAGGCCCAGTCGGATTTGCATTTCTACCGTGCTGCCTCCGCACAGCCGACGGTGTTGCGGGAGGAACCATTTCCCAACTTCAGCGACGCCGTTGGCAAGTGCTTCTCCCTGGCGGCCAGTTCGCCACGTTACCTCCACAAGGTGGGATTGCTGAGGGATGGTCAGTGGAAAGGGTTGCCCGCTCGGTTGAATCGCTTGTATATCCAGGGCTTGAGGGTTGTATTCCTGCTGCCTGTCTTCTATGTCCTCGATCGATACCGCGTGGAAGTGCTGAGCGGACATATCAAGGCGGACGACAATGAGGCCTACTGGAGATTTACGGAGCACTATACGGGTTCAGCGGCTCCTTCTAGAAGGAGCAACGAACAGTTTGATGTGCCGGCCAAGCTGCTTATGGAGGTAGACGATCAGTATGCCAGGTAGAACAATATATTACATAAATTTCTTCCCAATTAACCAAGTTGATTATACCTTTCAGCCAATTTTTGAGCATCGTTCTACAGTTTCAACTATTCAATCATTTTTGTACGAAAACCGGGCAGTTTGAAAAGGGGAATCCCAAAAAACCCTTGGATTTGTGCGATCTGTCCGATCAGCGTGGCATAGGGGAGGATCTCCAAAAGGCCATGGCCTTGGGATCTTCTGTCCACTACAGAAAGGTCTTGCAAGAGTTGGTAGGAGAACCAGAAATCAGTATTGATGGCTTGCTGAACTACTTTCAACCTCTACACGATTGGCTGCAAGGGGAAAACGAGAAGAACAACCTGGAAGTGGGTTGGAAATAAGCATTTTTCTGTACTTAAATATATTTATCAAATATTTGTATCGAATGTATGGATAAGTTATTTATATCAAAACTCTTAACTGCAGTTAAATAAAACGTAAAATCTCCAAATTAAATCATCCCAAGAGTAGGCTACACTTTCTTCCATGTATTTGTAAAGTAAAGTAAAAATGGTAGTTTAGGCCAAAATATTTAATTAGGTCTACAGTTTTTCAAAGTTTTCCTTACCACTTTCACTTCCCGACATCATCCTGCTTTAAATAAAGTATGTCGTGTTTTAATTGTAAGTTTTAGGCATGCCTTGACCAGTTTCTGTTGGCTTCTGTCAAATTTCCAAAATTGTGTGTCGCGCCGTGTCGCGTCCTCGTCGCGTCCTCGTGCGAGTTCGCCATGGCGGCCGACGGTGTCTGTTCGTGCCAGTTCGAGGTGTTTGGCAAGGTGAAGGGCGTCAACTTCCGGCGCCACGTCCTGCGGAAGGCCAGGACTCTGGGCCTGCGCGGCTGGTGCAGGAACTCGGAACAGAACACAGTGCGCGGCTACATCGAGGGCCCCTCGCCCGAGATGGACGTGATGAAGGAATGGCTCAAGACCACGGGTAGCCCGGAGTCTGACATCAAGATGGTAAAGTTCAGTTCGCATCGGAACAGCCATAGATATGGCTATACCAACTTTGAGATCCGACCCGACAAGATCAGTCAGACCGATGGAATGAGAGGTCCTTCTAATTCTTCAAACGAAAGCATGCGGCAGTAAGTCCTTGCAGTTCCCTGAAAGTCCTTGGAAACACCAATGACACCGAAGGTTTTCAAATCTTTTTATTTAAGAACATTTTATGTGTTTTGAAAAATATTAAAATAACAAAAAATTAATAATACAAATAAGAAGCTGTTGTATCTCTTAATTACTTTTAAACTTAATATTAAATTATATATTAATATTGCAATATTAGTGGTATTTCTTTTTTAAGACAAAGAAATATTGAAAATATCCTCTGCCTTAGAATATTTAAATATTTTGTTTTCCCATCTTAAATGCTTATTAGTTTATAAATAATACAAAAATACGAGGGAAAGCTTTGAACAAATAAACAAACTTAAGTTTTTACAAAATTGTAAAACTTCTTGCCAACGCAGATTAAACACAATTACAATAATATATTATACTTCTGGCTCTATATGATTTTAAATATTCGACATTATCAGAACTATTGTTAAAGATAAAGATCTCTCTATTAATATAAACAAATGTAAAAGGTAAATATGCTATGTATTTTAACGGAGCGTACGACGCCATTGCATCGGTTTAAAACTAAGTTGTCTTTGTTATGTCTATAATTTTATGTTTATAATTGCATTCTTTTTATTTGTAATTCTTATGCTATATGTGTCGTAAACAATCTTTATGTATCTGCTTTAGTGTATTTGGTCTTCGTTAGCCTTATCCTTAAAGACAGATTTTCAAAGCTAAATCAGGCTCCAGGTTATATTCCCCTTTTCGAAGCGGAAATAGGTTTAAAGTCCCGTCAGACAGAACCGGGGGTGGCTGAGGAAGTCACAGTTCGCTGGGTTTTCCTTGGCTCTGAATTATTTAATGCTTTCTTAATGATGATCGCCCTGTGCATAGAGCAAAAGCATTGTCTGAATAAAATAAATAACCGGAAGGAATTTAAAGCAAATGCAAAGCATAAACGAGCTCAGTAATTAAAATGCACTTGATTGTGATGACTCCCGAGGGCTCTTCAATCGGCAGCCACTCATTATAATAACGAAAAACTATAGTTGAAAAGTAAATATTATCGACAGTATTTGCCTAATGTGCGTCATGCTAAGCGGTCAGCGCTTTTATGGGCGTATCGACTTACACAAGCCAAGTCACTCGTGAAAATTAATTACTTACAGGCACTTGCCGCTATTTTCCCACGGTTCTTGGCTGGTCTAGGGCTCGTTTAAAATGTGGCTTAGTGCTTAGTGCTAATAGAACCTCAACTGACCTTGACTTTAATTAGCATTTTTGCCAAAAACAAAAAGTGTTTTTTGCAGGGATCAGTTCCAGGTACAAATGCAGCCAACCACATCATAAAGCTGGCTAATATTTATGAGCTCATTTCCGAGACAGATAGACTTCGCAGATCGCAATCTAATTACACTCTGAATCACATATCCGAATATTTATATGCATTCTCGTTTGTACGCCACTGGATTGGCAATCAAGCCATCAATCAGCATGCCAAGTCATTCCATTCATTGGGTCGTGAAGCTCATTAGAGGATAGTTCTCTCCTTATATCTCAACGCGATCAGTGATCGTTCGTTCATTCGTGATGACTCACAACTTTTTTCGCATTTCGCTAGGTCAAGAGTGAGTGCAATCAGTTTAGAATCTAAACTTTATATTCCTAAGGCAAAAGAGGCTAACTGATATTTTGCATTTAATTATAGGAATTCCTCCACATATTTCATTATTCACTTTCTTGATATGAATCACAGTCAAACCTGAGCAAGTCAATCACTTTCACACAACCATGAGCAAAACTTAAGCATTCCTATAAATAAAATAAAAGTAAATATATGGGAAAAAACAAAGATAACTTATCCGAAGATTTACTTTAATGCATTCTTACCTGTTTACACATGTTCTAAGCACGTTAGTTTAATGAGTAGTGTAACTTATACATTTGTTTCTTACTAGTAAAGGTGGTTACAAAGTGATTTGCTTTTGCCGCCAGGTCGACTCCCAGGTGGAACGCATTTGTTGCAAACTTCATTAAGTACACCTGCCTGGCGATCTGCTGGAATGAGTCAAGATGTTTTCCACATTTCTCTGGGTCAAGAGCGACAATAAATGCGGCTCAATGCGGGTGCTTCAGTGTTGTTATGTGGAACGTATGAGCATGAGAGATGCAGGTGAGGGTAGAGTTTTAGTGTAATGTGTGCATTAGATATATTATGTTAAAAAACATAGTACATCCATTATATTACTTTGAAGCTTGATAATAATTTAATTAGTTATTGAATTGTTTTATGCAATGAATCTTTTTAACAAAATGACACGAGAGGGTGGAACCGAACCCATCTTAATATTATTTTTGTATTTATTTTAAACTATGGTAAGCCCTAGGGAGGTATTCCATTACTATAGCAATTTTTGATACATTTTTGTAGATTCTTAATTTTCTCGATCTGCTACCTTATGTACTTAGCTTCTAATTTATGAGTTTTCGAAGACTTTAAGCTGGATTTAAAAACCCCAACTGAGTGTTAACTCCGGCATTTTGCCGACTTCTGACTCGTTTCGAGTGAGTTCCGACCTCAGGCAGCCCACTCAATTGTCGCGTACTTTCTCACAGTCACCATTATTATGCGGTCGAGCTTTTTGGCCGATAAGTACGTACATGGACGTGGGGCATGCACCTGTGTGGGGATACCCTTACCCTCCCTTATAATTGTCGACATGCATGCAAAAACGATTTACATAAATACGACTCACACACACGCTTACAGTGGCAGCTCCACCTCATTGTTGTTCCCAAGCTTATGGAAGATTCGATTGTTGTTGTTGTCGTCCCAGTGCTAATTGCGATTATCTCACACGAATATACATTTGCACAAACATACTATATGTAGAGAGACATCAGCGCCGGCAGAGACGCCAACTGCAACTGCGACGCGACTGCGTTTAAATTTGAATTCATTTTCGAGTTGAAAACAAAAAAAGTGGCAAGTAATCTCGAAAAATATTCTTACTGTCTAGTCAGTAGAGTTTTAGACGCGTTACCGGACGCTACGTGGGCGGTACAGTGGATCAGAGAAAGTACCAACGAGATCGATCGAGTGCCAAGTGAAAGTGAAGAGCAAAATCAAATCTCTAAATATATGGGATATATATTATATATACCTAAATATCAGCAGACCCTAGTCTGCTAATCATACTGCCAGTGGCCTGCAATTAAAGTATTTAATTGCTTGTGAAAGAGTTAATAAGTGAGCTGTCAGTGGTGACCTTGGCAGTGTGGAATATAGATCTTAAGATAAAAAAATAATGCCCAGTGCTTCGGTCTTAACCTGGCTCTGTCTCGCCCTCAGCCTGACTCTGAGCCAGTGCGATCCCCAGTTGAATTTGCCCACCCCACAGCCAGAGGTGTTCTACAATGGCTATACCCCAAATGTGGCCACCACACCCGCCCAGTTGCGGGCGGATAGGGATCGGGACCAACGCTATGGTCCACCCTACTCCGATGCAGGAGGAGGTGGCAACACCAACGACGCGCTGGATGACTTTAGGGTGGGTTACAGCACTCTATAAAGATTAGTGATTAGTGAAAAGTAAAAGCTGTCAAACACAATTGATTGCATTAAGTTTGTTAAGGTGTGGTTTCTAGAAGAGATCCATAAACATTTTAAATTAAATTTAAAGTTTACTAAACATTCTCTATAGTACAAATATAAGTCAAATAAAGATCCTATGATCCTTATAATCTCTAGAGTATCTCAAAGTACTTTGAAATCATTTTTAATATGTATTTGTATTTTACAATATAATATCATCAATGTGGAACTGAACCCCTTACTTCCAACCTAACCCTTCGAACTTTCACTTTCAGTACGGTCAAACTAGTGAGGAACGCATGAGACTCGGCTATGCCTATCCCTCGCCGCGCGTAAATTTCTCGGATTCGCCCTTTAGTGAGGATCGGTTTTCCAACCACAACTACGGACCATTGGTGTCCAGCTCCACTGATCGCAGCTTTGGCAACGATCCCAGCCAGAATGGACGTTATTCAGATGGACCCATCCCCACGCAAGGAGAGCGAAACTACAACCCCAACGATCAGTACAACTACAATAATAATCCCAATGTGGAGTTCTTGGGCATCAACAATCGCAATCGTTTCGAGAATCCCTTCCTCTCGAATCAGGATCGGTTCAACTTGAATCAAGGATATTTGGAACGCCAGCGTTACCAGCAGGATCGTCGCTATCAACAGGAACTGGAAAAGCTGCGTAACCTTCTCGTGGAAACCGACCAGAAAGGCTCCCTGGAGTGCACCGCCAACGTGGCCGCCCAGTGGAATTTCGAGACGAACGTCAACGATTTTACCCAAACGGAAGCGGTGAGTGAGCCGAGTACTCGTACTCGTACTCGTATGTACATCGCGTAATTGTGGTTGAACGGCACGCGATACTTGCGGTGGTGGTGGTGCAGTTTTCCCATAGCACACACACTCTAGGTTTTCTTACACACGCACACTCGGATAAGTCCCAAAAGTCGCATTCAGAAGGTCGAATGGCTTTGTCAGATTCCCAGGCAGACATTCCAATGTCAAAGAGCTAGAGTTTCTGAGGGTAGAGATATGACTTTTCTTTAAAAGCGTAAATATGGAAAAATAACATGTAACATGTAACAGGTGGGAGACATCTTCGACCTCATAAGGTATATATTTTATTGATCAACATCACTTGTCAAGTAGATTTTGTCATGTTTGTGTCTTTTCATATGAAACAATAGATCTCAAATACTTAAAGAGCTCGAGCAATAAATTGGTGACAACATTTATATTATATTCACGCTGTTGCCACTGATGTTTCTATAATGTGTCTTACTATAAAAATATTAAAAACATCGGATGATTTAATTTAATTTATTACACAATAAAGATATTTAGATCCTATCCCAAAGTTGTTCTATCTCCATTCCTCATGCAATTATTCAATCTCTTTTCGAACCAGCCGAAGTGCTGGTTCTGGCGCTCTGGAATATTATTTTACTTTATTTTGAGTCTTGGGAAGATGGGTACATGGTCTTTTTTTCACAGTCAGTCCTCGATTGATTTT